AATTGAAAAGAGATAATTTTTCCATAGCTAATTATAGTCGCTTGTTAATTTCGCCTTATTTGGCATAACATTCGTGTTCCTTGATGCTCTTTTAGTTTGGCCGACAAATCTCAAACAACACTGACAATATATGCTATAAATTCCCCAAGAATTAAAATCAGAAATGAAATCTTTAAGAATCGAACCATGGGTTTTATTGATAGGCGAGAAAATGACTTAAAAATTGAACTTCTGGAGAATCCATGCAATTTTTTAACTGACAGAAGGATGAAATGGAAGTACAAGGTTATTAACGTTGTTTTTAACCGCTGAATGTCTTCTTTGATGGTAGAATAATACTTCCCTATCGTATTAAATACAAAATTTACCTATGTGTATATAGAAATAAAGGATTCCTCACGGTGTAATTCTAAGTTACTGTTGGAAGTGAAGAATCTTAAGAACTCATAAGCGAATAATCCCTTGAGTTCGTGTGACAGAAAACAGCAAGATAGAAGGGTAAAATTCCCCTTTATTATTCAAACTAAAGTTTTACAAAACTTCGTTTGGAGTGTACAATAAAGCCGACACTTGGGCTTGAACTTAAGAAACTAAGAATTAAACTAAACTAATCTTAACTAAAGAGATATAGCCGAAATAATCAAAATTCTAACAGAGTTGGCCCCTTAACGTTAATAGACTGCGGAGCTATCAAGGGCCTAAAGTACGCCGGACGTAATAATAGCTTACGAGAGAGTAGCCTAAAAAGACGGACGCGTGCTGCACAGAATATCTGGAGTCTGTCTCCCTAAGACCGAAGACCTTCGCGGTTAAATACCGCTTTTCCTCATTATGTATCCAGACGTGATTCTAAAACTAAGATCTGGCCGGAAGTGGTAAGTTGAAGTTAAGAATCGATAGGAAAGAAATTTAACTGAAAACTTAACTGTTAATAAATTTAACATAATCCTTACAATCTAAAAAGTAATTTTCTCACTTATCACAAGAAAATAGCAAAACATTTTAGAATATTTCCCCTAGTATAATATCATTCATCACATTTTTATTCTCCTAGATTTAGCTGCAACAAAATTTTTAATCTTCTTAATAATTATGTTTATGTCTTTCTTGACGAGTAGATTCATATATATTTCTTGATAAAAAATTTAAAGTTCAAGGTTGGAAGAAGTACCATGTAATAATGTCATAATAATAACAGATGAAAAAAACTTACATGTAGCTCTTTTCAAAACCACTTTACTGATTCATGAAATAATAAAACTGTAAAACCATCCATGGCTGCTATTAATGTAAAAAGCAACTTTAAATGTTTAGAAGATATTAGTTAATGGATGCATTACCGCAGTGAAACCTGTTTTTTTTTTTTCATGCTTATTCTGATATTTAAGTTTCAAACTTTAATAAACCATGCATTTTAATGATTTAATATTAATGAAAAATAACCAATAAAAACTGGTAAAATTTTCAAAGCAATACAACATTTTACCTGGTTCATGATACAGATAAAAAGTGTTTTTACTGTAGAAACATGCTATATATGACTTTTGCTTAGGAAGGGATAATTGCAAATTCCATAAAAGAATAACATGCCCCACGTTTTTGGTTTCCTAGCTTAAATTAAACAGTTAGAACAGTATTTATGTAACTAAACAGCATTAAAATTTACAATAATTGTTGATTGCATCTCCTAAAACAGAAACATATAAACGTGGTTGCCAAATCTCATGAAGAATAATTTATTATTAAATATGCTGTGAGTGTTCAATAAACATATAAATAATAATGAAGATAAAATATTAGAAAACAAGGTATTTTCCCTATAGACGTTTTATATTATGTACTGAGTTATTAAAAATTAACAAGGTGAAGAAACTGCTGAATTTTTATTATTATTTTGCAGAGAAAAGAATTCTCCAAAAGAGAAATTTAGCATGTAGAAATGAAAGATAAATTGTTTTTTAAGCATGTGATAAATATGTATAGCAAGTGAGAGATATCTGTTTTAGGAGAAATGTCTTCGGATACTTATTTAGAGAATTAGCCATTACAACCACCCTCTTTGAAAGGCATTTCATAGTTTATATGCAGAGACTATTTATAAGTATAGTTTATAAGCCAGAGACTACTGTGCTGTAAGAAATACTATAATCTAATATAACACACATTTGACGAATTTCATTAGTAATAGTAGTCCTTTTGAGGTTGAAATTTAATTTAAAGATGAATTCAAAATATATACAAACAGTATGGATGGCAAGCTCAAGCTGCTCCAATAAGTTGTCTAGAGCAGCGATTCCCAGCCTTTTTCTTTCGAGTAACCTTTAATAAGTCTTATTAAATATAGAGTATCTCTTATCCTTCTTTCAGAACGTATGACCCCTCCGCCACACACTTCTCACAGTATATCTTTCCATAATATTATTCTAATGTCCTAAAAGTAATAGACTGCATTGATTAAAGCCATACTAATTTATGACAAAAATTCATATTCGATCCTTACAAATCGAGTTTTTAACACAATGTTAAAGTGGGGGAAGGGATTAGCTACTGGTGCAAGGAATTGAGCAATATGATCGGTGTAGACGAGATTAGTTACAGGTAATTGCATTACTTTTGTATACATTTTCATCAATAACGGCCACACCGAAATTCCTCGTAATAAATTTTTCTTATATTCAACTTAAACGTTCTGAATATTTTTTTTTAATCACCCTTTATTTCAACACTTTGTTCTCTTCCGCCATTGCTACTAATCTTTTTTCTTCCGCACTCCTAATTGAGTATCTCGTCCACGGGTTAGGAACCACTGTTCTAGAAAGGTGGTGAAAGTACATCCAACTGCGAGAAAAATATTTTCCCTGTGTCTCCTAAGCGGTATAGTTAGTTTAAGTATTGCCGGAATTGCGATGAATTTTCCCAAAATCTGGACTCGAACTACGTGAATGGTTATCCTATCCTGACTGGCTACATAAAACTCAGTTTTAGCAGGAACACTGCTATGACACTTAATGATTTATGATTATGACAGCTCTGATATTTATGCAGTAATGCGGAAAGACCTTCAAATTTCATTTCTCTCCATAAGATACCCACTAGTGGTCAAGTGGATACGATCGCTGAGCACAGGTAGTTCCAACCCTAAAATGGCTGTTTTCGTGGTCTTCCCCGCGCGTAAAATAAATACAAGCCAATTTCCCTTAGAAAGTCCTTCATCTTCGTACGCAAAGCAGTCATCAGGTGTTTTGTTGTATTCAATTAAATCAACAAATTTTTCTTAAAATTAAATTTCTTTTACCTATCATTTGAAACTCTCTCTGAGACATCGTGTCTTTTTATATACAGCGCTTTCGGAAACTTTTCTGTGCCAATCCAACGCGCAGGCTGTCAGAGCAGCCTCAGTCGAGGCTGTCTGTCATTGTCTCCGATTTCCCTTCAAGTCGTATGGGGATTAGTTTGACTTGAAGTATCGTATGGGGATCAAGTCGTATGGGGATTAGTTTGACATTAGCTCGAAATGAGGTCAGACGTGGTCGTAAAGTGCTTATTATTGTGTGTGCAATGCAACGCCAAAAGTTTACACTTGAACAAAAAATTTTTGCGTACGTCACGTAAAAACAGATTGTGGACAACAATGTGTAGACAATTCATAGAAAATTCCCTGGTATTCCGGTTCCTCATATGAATACTGTCAGAAATCTTGTTGTTAAATTAAGAGAAACCGGGTTATTCAATGACAGAACCCTTACAGGAAAAAAAAAAAAAGAGTTTTAAAGGATTAGAAAATTGTTGAATTGGAGACTCATTACAGCGTACTCCAACGAAATCTCTACGCCGTGTCTCACAGGAAACAGGTGTTTCAAAAGCCTCGGCCTACTGACTTATTACATTTGAAACTCCAAAGGGTGTGCGTAGTCCAAGAACTAAGACCCGAGACGACGTAAGGCGGGTGAATTTTTCCACATGAGTTCTGCAGAATATTGCTAATGATACTGTTCATCCTCATTTAATATAATTTTTTCGGACGAGGCTTGGTTTAATTTATATTCACCGACTAATTCATGAGATTCCCTAGCATGACCAAAATGTTGGGGGTGTGGTGTGCTGTAACTGCAAGGCGAATAATAGGGCCCATATTTTTTCAGGACACTGTAAATTCAGAGAGATATCGCACGGAAATACTCAAACCTACTTTTTGAACAATTATCCGATAGTGAGAGACAATATGCATACTTTCAACAAGATTCTGCCACACCCTATATTGCCAATAATTTTTTGCACGCTAAAAGAGAGATATTTAACGATAGAATCATTTGTAAACGTTTATGGCCCCTAGATTCCCCAGATCTGTGTGTGTGTGTGAGGATTTTCTGTGGAGAACCCTAAATAATAGAGTCTATCAAAACAATCCCCAGACTATTATTGAACTCAAAGACAACATTCGAACAAAAATTCAAAACATTTCGGAAAAACGACTTTTGCGTGCGAATGCTAATTTCATGAAAAAATGCGAAAAATGACCGCTTGCAAATGGACACTGTTCTGAAAAGCTCCTATAATTCACGTAAGTATTCATTACACCATAGAAATGATATGCATAATTCTTATTAATCAAAGTTTACGAGAATTTAATACACCAGTTGGCGACCTGCCGCTGCCACAAAGATGTTTCAAACATTCTACCTCTCGCCAACCTGTATACATAGGTATGGGAGGTAATGTTAGGAGTTTAAAAATTGGATAATGAGTTTTCAGTGAGTAAGCACGACTTAGGGTCAATACTAACACGTTTTTGCTATTGGACAGCCATTCACTAATAGCAAAATATTTCACGCATCGGTCTATTTAGAATGAACATCGAAAAAGAACGTATATTGTTAACTTAAAAAAAAAAAAAAAAAAATCAGATTTGTCTTATTCATATCCGGGGCGCTTTTTATAATGTTTGTGTAAATAGCTGCGATTTTATGTGGAAATTATTCATATTGAAATAAAGACACATATTTATCTTACACATGCTACTTTATTACAACTGACAGAGTAAGAAAATGCATTTCAAACATTATCACAGATACAGTAATATTCCAAAATGGCTTGTGTTTTAAGGACAATATTCGGAACTAGCACCGATGTTACATTCGCTTGGATAGGATTCTGGTAAATCACAGCAGTGTATTACAATGCAGACATAACTTGTCAGACTACCAGAATAATCCTTCCAAATTGAAAGTAGACAGCAGATTTGAAGTTAGCAGTCCCGGACACAGAGAGAAAATCGGATTATGAGAAAAATGAGACAATACAGTAATCGCTTCCACTAAGTACTATATTATGAATTTACAAACCAATATAATAAAATGCAAATGAATTTACATGATTTAGTTTCTGGCACTTCCACTAAGTACTATTTTATAAAATTACATAACATTTTTGATACACTGCGGAGGAATGTTACAGAATTAATGTTACCAACATTTAAATAAATAGTTAACGGAAGAATTGTTTCCTTTAATTCTCTTATAGTTTTCTTATCAGAATACTGGATTCTAGATTTAAATGTGATTTTTTAATTAATATGTGAAATAGAAATTAAAAAGTAACAAAGTCGAAAACCAGCGTAGGAAAATATTAGGATTATTAAAGGATATTTTTTCAAGAACATCAAACTATGGCTTCATACTAGTAATATCATCTTTTTGCTATGGAATTACACACAGTCACAGACAAACTGTGATTAACAAACTGCTTAAGCTTGAGAAGGGACTAGAATTTATTAAAAATTATGATTATAAGAAACAATACATAATATTTAACAAAACATGTATTTATTACAAAATATGATTATAAAGAATAATACGTTACACTTAACAAACTATATATATATAAAGCTCGATGTCGATTACATATAATGCATGAACCTCTATATTTCGAATTATTGTCGATTAAATCTGGCAGCTAGGAATCAAAAGAAACATAATATGACATGGTCTATGGGGGTGGTTACGGTTTTCAGATCAGGGCTTAATTCCAAACGAACGACACCAAAATCTAGATTTGGTACTTTTTCGTTTCAAACAAAAGCCTTAGTACATGCCAGAGAGAACTGAAGCACTTTCTAGGTGAATTCCGCTGCTTCGCACACTCGTGTGTGAATAATTTAATGTCACATTAAATAAAGTTCTAGAATTGTTGATAACTTGATAAATAACTCGATAACGTGAAGCACAAAAGCTTATTACAACAGGAAAAATAATGGCTCCGGTGATGTTTTATACAACAATAGTCTCCAAACAGAGCATTGAATAAAGTAACATCGACTGAGTTCAAACTTAATCAAGAAAGTCGGGTAAAATAGTGTGTTAAAACTACAAGCAGAAGGAATTCTATATACAGCATAAGCTCGACATGCTTGATTTAACGCATACTTTCATTGGTCTAGCCTGAAACATATAAAAAACACTATCAAATTATCTCCGATTAAGCGACTGATTTCTTAATAACGTTTCATAAAATTTAATATTTTCTAAAACGATACGCAGCTTGACAGGTGTGGTATATATAGAGATGGAAAGAAATTCTAGTAATATATTACGCAACTGCGATTTCCAAATTAAATCTGTGAGTCTGAAATCACTGAAAAAACTTATGGTGTAAAGAAAATGGATGCAGAATCATCCAGTTCTGAGAGCGAAATAGATACGGAAGTCAGCTATGAGGCTTTATAATATGTTAAAAAATACAGGATGAAGTTCGATGTGGATTAATCTGTTTTAAATTCACTGGCTGCTCTGGATGAGCCAAAGGGAAAATACTGTTTTGAAATATAAAAATAACGAAAGCCGCGCTAAAAACATTTTTCAAAAAGTAATATTTTTGTTGGGAAGCTGTATAAAATACAAACAAAATAAGCGAAATACAAACAAAAATCTCAGAATTTTTAAACATTATCCTTCTTAATGCTGAACTAAGAAGCAAGCATTCTAAATTGAACGATAATTTTCCTTGAACTCTAGACTATCATTCACTCAGGTTTTGACTCCATAATATATTTATTGAAGTCAGTAACTTTATCATCTAATTTACACTCTGTAATGATAATAATTTTTATACTAAATTATTCGGCTAAAAATGGTCCATTGTAGTTTCATTGAAAAACTTGATGATTTAAATAAATACCTACTTTTCCTTCAGCATTCGCTAATTTTTTTAAAAAAATTCTGTATGCATTTTAATTCATTTATATTAATGTATTACATCAATGATTCTCAGCCTCTTTTTCCGTCAAAGTAAACTTTTCGTAATTTAAAAATTTTGCGGTACACCTAAAAACATAGAATTAAATTAAAATTTTTAAAAAAATTTACTTGGTTAATTGACGATGTAATTTGACGGTACACTTGAAAAAATAAAACTAAAATAATTTTACTTGGTTAACTGATTGATGTATCTACAATATGTTTTGTGAAAACAGCATACTTTAATAATTTTCAATGAAATATAAAATAAAATTGAATTATAAAGTAACAAAATGTTTATTTAATGATAAATTACAAATTATATTTAATTTGAAATTTGAGATCGGTGTTTTTTGGATAACTTGATTAATATTTGGGCGTAAAAGTGGTAATATTAATCTCATTTCGTAAGCCAGATTAAAAAAAATCGGATTTCCTATTCGTTTTTATGTTGTTCAAAGCCGAAAATCCGAATTCGCACAAATAAGAAATACAAAATTGTAATAGCATGCTTAAAGTCTTTTGTGATATTGTCGGAAAATCGTATCTAAAATTAACCCAAAACGAATTAATTGATCCGTCTGAATGTTTTGAAATTAAATCTCGGTCATTACACGCCGAAATGAGTTTTTCCTCTTCTTTCAAAGTTACGACGTGTCGTTTATCACTAATGGATTCGAACCCAATCAAAAAAAATCGTATTTACATGAGAAGGCCAGTCCAGCCAGTCTTTGCTAGGATGCTTGAACCGATCGAACTACTTGTCTGATGTCGCTTGTGCATGGGTATTCGGAGAGGTGTCACGTGACGTTAAAGTATAGAAAATTTTTTCACTGAGTACATACAAAGTAATTTTTATTTTATGCATTCGTGAAATCTGACGACACACGTTAAGAATCTCGTGGCACAATGGTTAAAAATCACTGCTTTACGTACTTCATTTTGGGGGGGGGATTAAAGTTCCTGACCTCCACCATCAGGCCTATGGTACTTTTTATTTTAGGAAAAAAAGTACTAGTTCAAAGTAATCCAATAGATGAGAAAAACCGTCTAATTTTTAAATAAGCTTTACTAACGGTCTAACGGTAAATGCAACGATTTCATAAAGCAACTAAACGCCCAAAACATGCTTTCTGAGATATATACAACGAAAAGGACAGTCAAGAACCGAGATACCAATGACGTAGCGCAAGGGTTTATATTTGCTAAAAGAGCAAGATGCGAATTATGACGCGATTCAAAATGATGTGAGCACACGGAAGACTAGAGCCTCGTAGATCATGTAACGGTATAATTTAGCAAGAGCGTTATCACATCACCTTTGTTTTAAAAAGTTTGCAGTACGAAGCCAAATATTGCGATAGCATAGCTTTAATGAGTGTTTCTAGTGATACACATAGAGTAAAACCTCGCATTTCAATAGTACGAAATTTTCGATAGGTTGAAAATAATGTTTTCTATCGGAAGCATATACTATATTAAAGAGAAATTAATGTTAACTTTTCTCCAAAAGTCCAATTTTTTAACATAAAAAAATTCCATTAAAGTCTTTTTTTTTTTTTTTTTGCTGCGAATTAAAAAACGGACTATTAATTAAACGTTCTTTGTTAATGCAGAAGCACTGATGTCAAGTTACCATTTATGAGTAGTATGATTCGAAATTTTGCATTTAATGAAATTTAGTTTCACTTAATTAGTTAGTTTAGTGCTTTAGTGGCCACTAAAGCAGCGACCTCGCCTTTCTATTCTTTGCGTATAAACAATTTCGTGTAGTTCCAAACGTGTAATTCTGAATAACTTTTTTTTATCGTCAGATTTACAGTTTTTTTTTTTTTTTTTTTTTTTTTTTTTTTTTTGTTCTGAAAATTTTTTATTATACAGAACAACTCATTAATTGAAACTTTCTTCGTAAGAAATCACTTTTCATTTCGTATTTTACTAAAATATATCAGCATACCCAAAATTGCTTCAGAAACCTATTTTATTTAATTCATTTCTTAAATCAGAATAATGTGTCTGTGGTCAATTGTTCAAAAAAGATATTTAGTCGTGCAATCCTTTTTGAAACACCTCACGTGGGTATACAGAATGAATCTAAAACATTAGAGACACTCTCTAATAAAACGTTGATCACAGCTGATATTTTCCTGGGTATGAATTGAACAAGGCGTTGATACGTTCCTAAGGAACATTAGTCCACGCTGACATAATTGCAGCTCTAATTTCATTCATATTGGATACTGGCGTTTTCACGCTTTGATGTGATTTCCATAATTCGTCTCACAAATGCTAAGGATTGATATCACAAGACTAAGCTGGCTGTGGAAGCAATCTGAGCTTGGAATTACGTTCATCAGACCAATTAAGAGATCACTTGCGCATGGTGACAGGTCGCTTTGTCTTGTTGAATACGATCTTATGCATCAGGGAGCCATAAACGAGCGTATGTTATCGGAAATGATATTGAGATAAGTTGTAGTGTTGAGAGTTCTTTCTAGACGCATTAAAGGAGTCACTAAAATCCAAGAAAATATTTTGTAAACCATAATTCGACGGTCATCACTGAAGAGTTGTTATTAGGCAACAGACGTGCGTAAATTCATCAGTTAGGACCATATTCTAATCGTGTCATTTGCATGATGAAGCAAGAAACGAGATTCATGAGGTGAAACTACTGTTTCCCCGCTATCAGGTGTTCAATTTTAATGTTCCTTGGTCCCCACTAACTGTGATTTTCTGTTCATCAGTGACAGCATAGGCATCCCTGAAGGTCTCCTGCTGTAAAAACTCTTCCGTTACAAAGTGTATCGAGTTGTGCATTCTAATATGCTTTATTATGCACCTGAAATGCGTTGAGGTACAATTCGCCACGTTGTCGCCTTACTGTTGGGGCGCTGTTTCGTGACAGCCACCTCTTACTGCTTTCGAACACTAGCATTTTCAGACCACAATTGTCCTTCCTGCCTGAATTCTTTTTGTTCAGCTACCACTCTTAAATACACAAGAAAAGCCTAGAATATTATGCGTTTCGGAGACGTTGGAAAAAAATCGTAATGCACCCACGATCACTTCATCTTTCGTTTTTTCCATTCTCCCTCTAATCAAAGAGATAACTATTTCTTCTCAAACTGATAGTGCCTTACATAAGCAACACCTGGCTATTACATCACTATAAGTCACTCATAGACTGGTCCATGTTAAAAATATGCATCTGTAATATTTTGGCCGCTGAATGTGCATGTGTGTGAATATATATTTTTAAGTATATGTGTGTGTGAGACAGAGTTATTCCACATATGAAGCAGCTTAGGCATAATTAATAAATTGCAAGACATAATTAATAAATTTAAGCAATAAATTGTGTGCATAACCTGCGGAGTTCGCAATTATGCTAAAATTAATTGGGAAGGAAGTTCATTAAGATAACAGGTAATATCTCTTTTAAAAAATCTGATCTCAGTATAGCTGATATTTCCAATGCAAGGTAAGATGATTCATTAAGATAATGGGTAAGAATGTTTTGAAGGCCTATCCTCAATATAGCCGTGATGTTTTACGTATGATATATAAGATAATTCTCCAGTACTTGCGATAAACATCAGATAATATTGCAAAAGACTTTTTAATCTTCACAATTGCATTCGCTCAGATGTTATACGGGTTAAGGGAGCCGACTGTGATACCGAAGGGCCTGCAGTTCGAATGGCGGAGAAGGCATGGATGTAAATTTTCTATCCCATTAAAAAACCTTCACAATTGATAGTCACTTTTCTTTCCTTCGCTTCTGTCACCCTCCTATCGAAATGATGCTTTTGCTGTCAGTTAATAATCCGAAATCATATGGTGAACCCCACTTTAGTCCCATCACACGGAAATAAATCACGCGCATTATTATTATTATTATTATGGATTTCTTGGTCAGTTTGGAATTTGCTGCTTCTTAATTTCTATGCATTTGTAAATATCATGGCTTAAATTTCTGAATTATTTTACTTAAATGGACTTGGAAAGTCATCTCTTCTATAATTTGTTTACAGTTATCCTCATCTGTCTCCGTCTATTCCATCATATAGAACGAACACAGGCAATCATACATAAGCGTTCGAATTGATGAAGTTCCTTAACACAGAATGCCTGTGTGATTGTGTTCATTAATCCGCACTAAAGATTAAAGAAACAGTATAAAATGTATTTTCCACTTAACTATACGTATAAATGAATAGGGTTTTTGATTAATAAGCGTTTCTGATTAGCATAAATTATGTATTAATTGGGTACGTAGCTATCAAAATATAATACATATAAACTAGACAGTTTATGTATAAGAGAAGAAAAGGAATTAATACTATTTACAGAATCGAATCCAGTTAATAAAGCCTCAAGCAGTTGTTTATTTGGGAGAAATCGCTTTCAAAAAATTCCCAGTTCATTAAAATGGTCATTATTTCCTTCGCTTCTTTGGGCTCTCATTAAGCAGGAGAAATGCCCCATTCCAGCATTTGACAATTTTAGTGCCTAAAAATTATGATGCATAAAGGTAAATAAATTATATAAATTGCGTGATCACAAAGATTCGGGAAAGTGTTTTTTAACTGATCATTGCTGCAAAGATTTTTCTTCATCAAATTTGAAAACAAGCTTTCCGTAATTTAGGTAACCATTTAGTCGGGTGTGAATATTATTGTCCCACTGTGTTCAAAATAACCGGGATCGACTGCATTCAGAATGCCTGATGCATACAGAAATTTAAAATCCTGTAATTAAAAATAAAATAATCATGCGAAGATATAGCATAAAACAAAAACTCATAAACCTTTCATATTCTGAGAAGGATCTGGTTCACTTCACATGCATTTCAAAATACTTTTATCAGTGACAAAGATGTGAATTTATTATATGATGAAAATTTTAACTATTATCAGTTACTGCTTAAATACATGCCATGAAATATAACTTAGCATTAAAACAACTTTCATTCCTCGATTTATGTATTATAAAGGTACCAAAATGCTTAATCTGATATTAGACATCCTGTACTAAAACTGATTGCAGATCGAGATAGCCAACTAAACTATTTATGTTATTAAAACAACTAATTTTACTATACACAGAAATGTGACACAGTGAAGCACCATTTATCCAAATTCTTAATGATTGTATTTTGGTTGCACTTAACAACATAGAATCAGCAAATCACAAACAAATGTTTTTTGAATTTTTGACTGCTGCTCAAGTGGAAAAAGGCATCAACTAATTTGAAGTAACCTTTTTGGAAAAGAAAAAGGGCCGTACTATAAGATATGATAAAAAGAAACAAAAATTTATGAGAATCCGAATCGTTTACAGCAGTTGTTACACCGGTACGCTCACAGCTATTGAACGTTAACACTTCCGACCATAGGAAGCTAGTAAAATTACAGCAAAACAGATGTTAGTGAATGATGGAAATGAAACTGTTGCTTACGGAAGATGTACAGAATGTACGACTTATCAGAAATTAATTCGTGGCAATGACGTGATAAAGACGAGAACTATCAAAATTTTAGTAAAAAAAGATTATTCATGTAATATGTGACTTATTCATGTAAGAGATGATAATGCTCCTAAATATGTCAGTACACAAGAGAAGTAAGAATACTGAAATCTCGGAAAGGCAGGGATTTTGTTTAATCGTTTGTTAGTATCACCTAAGAATTAATTTGCTGCCCAGTCGGGATAGTGGTTAACGACGCTGATTGCTATACAAAAGGTCCGGGTTCGAATTTGGGAGAAGGCATAGATGCCCGTAAATGTGTGTATAGTGTCTGTGTGTCTAGGCATAGTGTCTGTATGGCATGGGGGCACTCTAAATATGCGGCGAGCCGAAAGTCCTCTCGAAAGGTTAGGGGTAGGGGAAGAGAGGTGGAAGACCCTTAGACACGTTCCCCCCCGAAGTGCTCTCCATCAAAATTGGGGACGGAACTGAGCAAAGTCGTACTGTCTCCTGAATGCTGCTCAAGGCTATTGCCAACAACATGAACAATCTTGCACTCTTTGCCACGATGAATGTCATGGGCTTGTTCTGATGTTACTTACAGTGACATACGTCACAACAACAACAACAATTAATTTGACAAGGTATACCAATATGTTCATGATTGGCAAATTTCTACAAGAATACTTAGTATAAAAACGTAATATGAGATTCACGCAAGCGTGACTGATTTCATAATTATTTTACACTTTTTTAACATCTGCCCTTGCATATTCATTCACGGATAATAATTTATATTTCCGGGAAGTTAGCCTTTTCACGAATATTTCCGCCGACATTTGCTATGAATAAATGGAATTTCACCGTTATAGACACGCAGAAATTTAATTAAAAAGCATATTTTTAATAAGGATTTCAATTAACTGCTTTCTTCATATATACAAAATGTACAATCTGCTTAAGTGCATCCACACAATATTTTACAATCTAGCCTAGACTGTCAGAATAAATATTCCAGATCTGAATCTTAAATCCGCAAAAATTACCTTTCAATATATTTACAGTTTTTTTAAATACATAAAAAGACAACAAATATGTAATTTTAAACACTATATTTCTGAATACACCTAGATAAAAGATCACTTTACTGTATACTTAGGTATGAAATTCGAAATAAAATAGTATTTCCAGTCTTTTAAAATACAAGTCTCTCAGAGAGTCAGCATATAAAAATGAAACTGAATTATTTCATTGAAGGAATGCTCTGTACAGTAATTACAAAAAAGACATTAGAAAATACACTATAGGAAAACATGCTGTTAGTCAAAAGTAATGATGGTAGCTGAATAATTAATACAATATTAAAAACTTTTTTAAGAAGTATTTTTGGCAGATTTACATAATAATTTATGATGCAAAACATTTCTTTCTTTTCACATAGAAAAAGTGTCTCGTAGAAGAAAAACGACAATGACTAAATACACGTACAAGATCCATCATAATGTTTTTACATTTGAAATATCAAGAACAATGCATGGCAGGCATATGAAATATAATAAAAACTGTTCATTATATTGTTAAAAATCAACTTTTTTCCTCAAACTAACATTTCAGTGCACAAAAGAGAAGTAAAATAAACCTCCAATATATCCCAAACTAATCAACACGCATCTAAATCGATGAAAACATATAAAATATAAATCAGCAGTTTGTTGAAAACATTTTCTTCTAATTAAAAAAAAAATACTGGTTTACACGCATTTTTTATGAATACATCATTAGCACAAGAAAAATGTTTTTTTCACAGCTACACCTGACGTATTTTGTTTTAAGAGTTTGCTTAAAAAAAAGAGCTTGACATAGAATTTCAGGTATGAAACAAACATTTAAAAGGAATTAGCTTGACTCGTTGAAAAATTAAAGCTATATTAAGCAAAAAAGAGGTAATCGATATTTAGAGTTACAATTTTTTAGCTATCGATTGAGAACTGTTAATTCAAAATTTATTAAAGGTCGAAAACAATTATGCTGTTATTTATGTATCTTGTTTTCTGAAAAAAGATGCTAGTAATGTATAATGATGTAAAACAAAATATGTAGGCTGCCCCTATTTAAATGAAATCAGAATTCCACGCTACCATTGGCTTCTGACATGTTGATTAGATAAGATAACACTGGAAGCATATTTTTTATTTCATGTTACTTATCCGAATGTTATTATCGAAGAATTTTAGACGAGAGATGACACAGCCGAATGACAGACTGAATGTACAGGAACAAAAGAAAACTACATATATATACAAACTTTGACGCTGATATTGCCCCACTTAAAAGAAGGGACAGCTTTGCTTCAAAATTAGAATGTGGACGCAGGATAAATTTTGGATTCAATGTTTGAGTTTCCACAAAAATGCACTAAAAATTTCAATATGAAATAAATTGGCAAAATGTGTACTGGGAAATTAAAATCTTCATAATGAAATCGCCAACAAAAGTTTCCGAGAATGGCTCACCGATAACGTCGTCAAACGTATCAACAATCTAAAAACTATGAAAGGGAAATAAAATTCAAAATCACAGAAGGCAATATGATTCACAACCACTGAAGAAAGATGACATTATCAGAAACACGTCTCTTTCGGCTTACATCTTTCCTAGCATCTGGTTTCATAACGACTATAGTACTGATCACTCGACACTTAGTAACTGACACACGGAATCTTCAACATGCATTAGGGGCAGGACTAGACTAATGGCTGAACCCAAACGATTAGAAATAGCATTACATTTTGTTTACTGAAGCTACAAATATTCTACAAAATATAATAATGGCAGCATATTCATCTTCGAAAAGATGCCGGATTAAACACATGCAGCTTTGGTGCTCGAGCACTGTCAGTTGGCCTAATAGTTAGTCCTCCTTTGAAATGCCATAATCTATGACAATGATCACATTTAGTACGCATAACAAGAGAGATGGCAAGACATTCTAGAAGGCAGTTAAAATAACGGTGAAAGTTGTTACTACCACCTTCCATCGGTATACCATTTTCAATTTCAATTTAGTTATTTGTATAGTACATCTGAAGCCATTCGGACTATTCTTTGAAGTTCTAGGTATTCACATCTTTCAGTCTTCTAATACATAAGGATTGATAGCAAGTAACTTGCAAAACATTTTTCAGTGACTCATTTTCAAGGAAGGTTGTAGTAATTTGCCTCTTTCGCCAGAAGCAAATTACATTTGCAGTCAGTAAGATAACTTTCAGCTCTTCACAAGTTATTATGGTGATAAAACCTACATTAATGCGAAAAAGCTGTTTCACTACATATTAAAAGGATTTTTCGCGGAATTTTCAAGCCAGTTATTTATGCTTTACCTGATTATCTCTCTCGTTGACTTTTCACTGACTACATCCATTCCTTGTGCATAATGCAGCGCTTTCAATGCCGATCAGCTTATGCATAAAAAGAAATCAATTTATTGTATACGAACATCTTCGAAATCATTCATCACACTAATTTAATATTATTTGAACTGGGAACACTGTGCCGCAGGAATTTCATTTTTGGAGTTAATGTATGTCGATCTTGTGCACTAGGGATAGCATACCTGAGTTTTTCCCAAAACCTCTTATCTCCCCAGCGTATCATAGGCGCACTGCGAAAGCATATTTTTGCGTCTGAGTCTATTAATTTGAAAGACATTTTGTCCATAACAACAACGGCTAACTTGTGCTTGCGGTTATATTGGGACTCACGATAGGCACTTTTTAGTTCAAAACGACACCATTCACTTTTTAGAAACGGCTCTGATAATACAATTATAGTTCTGTGGCTGCATTCTATAGCTTCAGTAATAGCTTCTGCGACGTTCCCCGACATAGGGAGGTCTCTATATCGCAAACACAATCGGTACGATGGAGCACCACATTCCAGTTCTGGAACCAAACACTGGGCAACGAAATTCTCATCTTTCTTACTATAAGATACAAAAGCATCAAACAGTTTTTCTGCTTCTGGCGGAAATCTGTTTCTCTCAAACAGTCGAATGCCATATTTAGTATACAGCCATAATCTCAGTTCTTTGCGATACACACAAACGAGTGTTAATGACAGAAGTAGCACCAGCAGAAGAATGGGTATGATTATAATGAGAGGCATGTAATCAGTTTGGAAAACTGCTTGGAAATAAGTTATCGAGCTGTAGTTAGAACAGGAGGACATATTGAATTCAATTAGATAAGGTCCAACAGACTGATTATGATGGCACTGAATTGAGTCCATATCTTGTACCACAGATGAAGCTCTGCGAAGCCAGTCGTGATATATCTCTAAATAATCGCAATTACAAGTCCAAGGATTATGACCCAAATAAACACTTTTCAATTTTACATTCAATTTTAAATTCCAAACCTGAAATTCAGATATGAGGTTATGATCTAACTTCAGTTTTGATAGTGATTTTAAGTTCTGAAAAGTAGTATTTGCTATATGTCTTATTTTGTTATCTGAAAGATATAGTTCTTCTAAATGAACTAAGGTTTCAAATTCATAGCCATACAATGCGGTCAATTCGTTGTTTTCTAAATGAAGAATTTGTAATGCTAACAATCCGTTAAATGTTCGATTGTTAATAACGTGGATATTACTATTATTTAAATATATAACCCTCATATTTTTTCTTCCTATAAATGTATGACTAGTCAGCTGAAATATATTATTGCTATCAAGAAACAGATCGGTAACATCCATGGGAATAACTGATGGCATTGAAGTGAAGTTCTGTGAGCTGCAGTCAACAATATTTGTATTCCAGGTCTGATCAGAGTAACAAGTGCAATTTTCAGGGCAAACCATTTCGCAGTCACAGGCATCAAATTCACAGCAGTGGCATAAGGCAAAACAATGACTTCGGTATTTACATAGAAAATCCGATGGTTTTGTTTTAGATAATGGTAGAAATGTACCATGGCGAATAAACGGCAGTTTGCACATAACTTTTTCCATATCAAGTATATGAGGATACTGTGTCATTCCATCTAATTTATTCATATGTTGTAGCCATTCCATGTTACAATCACAAAAGAAAGGATTACCCGAAATGACAAACTTGGGTAACGGCATTTTCATTGCTCGAGAATTTAAACGTAGAGTATTTATGTCAATACTTTCAATGTTGTTATTCGCCATATTAACAAAGCTAAGATTATCTTTAGCTGCGAAGGTAAATGGATGTATAGTGCTTATACGGTTGTTATTGATTTTTAATGTTTCTATACTGTTAGGGAATGACTCACTTTTGACGCTGGAAATTAAGTTAAAAGAGGCGTCTAATGAGAGAAGCTGAAGCGTTGCTTCTAATTCGTAGTAATTACTTAAGGTTTTAATTTCATTCTCATGAAGATCTAAGTGCTCTAATTCTACAGGTATTACAGCATAATCGAACCAAATAATTTTGTTTTTAGAAACATTTACAGAAATAAGACTCTTTAAATTCATAAATAATCCATTGATATCCGCAAGTCGGTTTTCACTTAAATTAATTTCGTTTAGACCTTCCATATCATCGAAAATTCCGTGTTCTAGCCTTTGAATTTGATTCTTAGACATATCTAAAATTTTCAGAACAGGCACGTGTTTGAAAATGCCTCTAGTCAAGTTACCAATTTGATTCAGAGCAAGGTTGAGCTGCCGAAGTTGTTTCAGTTCTTGAAAAGATGAATTATTCAAGCCGTACATACTATTATTACTGATGTCAAGAGTCTTCAGGAACTGCAGCGATCGTAAAGCTGTTGGAACATAACTTAAATTATTACCCTGAAGCGTGAGATCCTGCAAACTACTACAGTTTTTGAAAGCATCTGGATGTATACTATAAATGCTATTAAATGACAGTCGGAGATTACTAATCACATACAAACCATTTAAAGTAAACATATCTAAGTATTTCAAACTATTGTGACTCAGATCCAGAGTATGCAGGTTAAATAATGATGAGAAAGAATTGTCTGCAATCATATAAATTTCATTATAAGAAAGAAAAAGTATTTGTAGAGAATACTGTGACTGAAATAAAGTACTGTTTATGTATCGCAGCTTATTGTGGCTTATATCAAGTACTACTAAACGAATGAGATCAACAAATGTATTAGGTTCCAAGGATTCACTGGAAATTTTGTTTGAAGTCAGATTCAAAACTACAAGCTGTTGTAAACCGTTGAATAATCCAGGAGCTAAACTAGTTATGGAATTATTCTGTAAATACAGTGCTCGAATATCTGGAGAATCCTGAAATAGCATTGATGGAATATTCAGTAATTCGTTATGAGAAAAATCTATGATTTGAATCTTTTCATAATTTGTGAATATATCGCCATCCACGTGTATGATATTGTTATGAGCTAATCTTAGAATACGAAGGTTCTTGAATTTCTGAAGGTCCAGCCTAGTAATTAACTCTATCTTATTGTGAGAAGCTTCTAATTCCGAAAGATCACCAGCACAGAATTCTTGAAGCTTATTGGTACCGTTTGAATCAGGTATGATGGAAGTTAAATCATTGTGTGTAAGGTTGAGAATTTTTAGAGAATTTAAATGACAGATCGTCTCTTCGGTAATAGATTCAATTTTATTGTATCCAAGATCAAGCACTTCTAGCTGATGTAGATT